GTTGTTATAAATATAAAAGAATATTATAAATTATGTGTATCTAATTTAGTAGATGCTGATATAAATAAACGGACACGTCATGAAGCTGGGGTTGTGCTTCTTTCTGCCTTTGTGGACTCTGATGTTTCATTTCTCTTAAATAATTTCATGGTAATGGCTATTTTATCCGGTGCAGAAAAATTAATCGAAACAAAATTGAATTAAGTAGATATATGGACAGATTTTTTTTTTTTTTGGGCAACATATGGACAGATTTATAGTTCATCATCCTACGTAAAAAAACTGTGATCTTATTTAAGTTAAAATTATTTCTTTCCCATCAAATTTATTTTCCTAAACATTTTAAAATTACAAATTTATCAAATAAAACCTCAAAAAGTTATGGAGAAATAAAAAAATTCGATCTTTTTTTTTTTGTGTTCAAAAATAAAAAAAATCCGACAAAAAAAAATAACGACAGAGTTGAGTAAACTAAATAGAAAAGAGAGAGGATATAACTTCCATACATGAACAAGAAGATTTGTTTAGAAGGTTAATTTTCCATAACCAAATCGTAGATCCATCGATGAGAAGACTTCAAACGAAAATGCTATCGGAAGAGTTTCGAGACTACTAACGTTGATTTATCGCAACCAAAAATTTAGCCGCTTCAATCACCGTGGAACCTCACCATCAAACAGAGACCATTCATTTATCATAATCCTCTAAATCAATATAACCAAGGGCAGATTCTATTTTCGACAGTTTAATACCTAGAAAATTGTCATTTTCAAAAGGACAAGTGCCATCTCTGGAATATCCCATATATTTAGTGCAAATCCACCAATTAACGCGTTCAAATTGTAACTATAACTTTTATGTAATTTTTGAGATTCTAGATAGCTATTCTATCGTCTACCACTAAGCTTGACGAAAGAGTTATATAGGCCATTAGATCATTTCTAACAAGCTCTTTCATTTTTTATGGGATTCACCTTAAAATAACAGGATGAAAAAGTAGTTTTCCAACAGTGATTTTTAAATTTTGCTTTTTATTTTTTAGTTTAATCTTCAATTTTGTTAATAATTAAATATAATTATCAAACTTTAATAATTAAACATTAAGCACATATTAATATATGATATTGGTAAAATTAGTAAATAGATTTAGTATTGTAATATCTTTTAATGTGTAATATTTTCAGCTCATGTAATAATTTTTAATTTGTCTAAATTTACTTAATTTATTATTATTACTGTGTAAAATAACATGTTTAATTAATACTATTATTTAAATTTTATTTTATAAGACCATAATTATAATATTTATAATATTAAAATGCAACGTGAAATAATAAATACATAATTAACATATATAAATAGAAAAATTACAGTAAAAGTGAATACTGTTTTAAGGGAGTGAATAGTGCATCTTGAAATTTGAAGATATATGTTTATTTCCTTAAAATTTGAGAGAATAGAAATCTGTTAGAATACAAATATTTTTTAAAAAAATAAAAGGATAAAGAGCTGTTGAAGATGATCTCAGATATATAAAAGTACCACCGTGTTAGAACCACACACCACCACGCTGAAGAAAGGGAAAGAGTTAAAAAGGAAAATAGGAGATTTTCTCATAGACTGATGAGAAAGTTGACGCCAAAAATATTTCAGACGAAAGAAAAAGTATGAAAAAGCTAGAGAGAATATGTGTGAACGCATGAGATCATTTACACAGTGTTGTTTGGATTTTAAAAATAAAATAAAAGAAAAAGAACAATTTGTTTGTTGCTAATAATAAACTTAATCCCACTAGAAGTGGAGTGATGATGATAATTAAGGATGGTTGGGCCTGCGTGAATCATGGTGGGAAGCTTGTGTACTTGATTTGCTTAATGTCCTCACGTGTTGTGTTGTGCAATTCTACATGTTCGTTGTTTTCACTCTTCGTCAACATATTTTTTTTTATATTTGGTAACGTTTCCTCCTCTCTTTTAATTTGACAAAATTATTTAGTTTATTTGTTTTTTTTTTATTTCTAAAGAGTTTTATTTTCTGTGTGTATATTTCGTTTTATATGAGTGTTGGTTTGATATTTTGAAAATATTTGGTAACGTTTCCTCCTCTCTTTTAATTTAACAAAATTACTTAGTTTAAAGCCTTTTACAAAAAAAATTACTTAGTTTATCTTTTTTTTTTCTTTTTTTTAAGTTTTATTTTCTGAACGTATATTTTTTTACATGAGTTTTGGTTTGTTATTTTGAAATTTTATCTGGACTTTGTACGCTATATAATTATAAATACCTTCAGACTTGACCAGTTCCATTTAAAAAGTTAGTATTATTTTTTTGGAAAAAGGGTTTTTAAAGCTAATATTCTTACAGGGTTTAATATGAATACCAATTATAATCTAAATTTTAAGCTTACTCCAGATATAAGATAGTCATGTTTTATATTTTGTCTTCTCCCATAGTACATCTTAGAATATTTACAGCCTATTGTTATTTTCGCCTCTATAATAATATTTAGAAGTTTAATTTTTCAGTTTGTTTTTATTTCTTCTTCTATAATAAAATTGCTATATTTTTTATTTATAATGGAAAAATAACATTCTTTTATTCTTTATTTTACTTTTAAAAATCTCTATTTTTTAAAAAATATTAGAACAAACTTTAACTCTATTATAGAGTTCTTCTAATTTAGAGACAATGTATTTTATAGGTGTTAGTAGTAAAATACGTTAAAGATGATCTTATATATAAATCACTAATATATGGATATATAAAAATAATTCTCTATTTTAAAGAAATATATTAGAACAAACTTCAACTTCATTATAGAATTCTTCTATTTTTTTTTTTTGAACTGAATTTAATTCTTCTATTTTAAACTTAGGAATAATAGAACATATTGGATATGATCTTATATATAAATCACTATTATATGGATATGTAGAGAGACAGATCACTAAAATTCGTTTCATAATTTTAGTTATTAGATACTAAAGTTGACTTTCATAGATTATTTCCAGTTCTTACTTCTTACATCAAAGTTTATTTATAATTATTTAACGTCGTATAAAGTTGAGTTTTAACATGTATTGTTAAGATTTTTTTGAAACATGTATTCTATGGATGAATTATTAAACGTCACATATAAGGTTTCCACGGACTGTGCCCATGTGTAAATCTAATCTAGAGGAACTTGTTTACCGTCGAGTAAGTCTTCAGCTTAGTCTTAAATGTGCTTGAGAGCAATCCTACAAACGAGAAAAGACAAAGTAATTTAGAAGATAACTACATTTTCTAGACTAGTATACAATGAAGATATTGAATAAAAATTCAACAATTGAATTATTATAATATAGATGTTGTAAAATGAAATTGATGATAATGTAAATTATTTGGTGTTAAAAATATTTAACATATTGAATAAGGAAAAAGTGGAAGCGACGAATGATATATCACTTTTTAAGAATATTTAATATTTTTATAACATTTCTTTATTTAAAATTATTATAAATTAATTAATTTTATATGAAATTTTATCATTTTAATTTTTTATAAACAGTAATTAAATTATTAATTTAGACATAAAAATAATTATTAATTAATTATATAGAGTATTGAAATTTATTAAATAATCCATTATCATAAATAAAGTCAAATGTGAATTGAATGATGAATTGAAAAAAAAAATGATGCACGGTGTTAAAAAAATAAGTGTAAGGTGTTACATTTTAAAGCTATTGTAGATAATCTTACGTGCGTCAAAATGTTAGATGTTGTGGCCACACTATCCTAACACGGAAGCATATAATTCAATAATAATACAAAAAAAATAGTTAAAACATATGACACAGTTTAACCGATAATAAAGAATATACAAGATTGCAAATTCAAAATATAGTTTCAATAGTTTGGTGATGTTTTTAATGTAATTTTATATTTTTTTGTCAAATGTAATTTTATCTTATTCGCAGATGATATGTATTTGTTTTCTAGTTTACAATTTTACATTAAAATGATATTATAAATTATAAATCATTTTAGACATGCATGCTTGTATTGTATTCAAGTATAATTATAGAATATGGTAGAAAATATTTTTACATCAAGAGGTGCTCCATCCTGTCCAAAACCAGATTTCACATTTTTTAGAGTAGATACATCAGAAATTATCAGTTACAAATCAGAAATTACTGAACATACTAAATTACCTCAATGAAGTAAACATACGTGGAGTTTAAATAAAAATATTAAAATGGTGAATATGAGTTATCGAGTGTTCTACACGATCACATATTAGATTAGGGAAAATTCCATATAAATACCCTAACTAAATTTTATTAAGCTTTTTAATATCCAAACTTTTTCACTACCCAGTTTAATACCTCAACTAATTATTCTACCCATTTTAATACACCAACTTTTATAACTGTATCTATTTTAATACTCAAACTTTGTTTATTTTAATTAACAATACTAATAAATTTCAAACGAAATTTTAAAGAATCTCCAAAATCTAAGAAAAAATATTTAAAATTTCTAAGTTTATTTGAAGATTTAAGAAATAAGGTAAACAAACTCTGTAGAAAATTTAATGTTTAAAAAAAAAAGTTTTTAAAGAAAAATAATAATTTACTTTTTATTTCAATAAAAAACAAATTCAATATATAAAACTTAAAAAAACTTATTACAAAACTTAAGATTATAAAAAATTTATTTAATTTCGTTACTCAAACATATAATAAAATTAATTTTTTTTGTGAAGTTTAGACATTTTTAAAATTTCATTGGAAACTTATTAGTATTGTTAATTAAAATAAACAAAGTTTGAGTATTAAAATAGATACAATTATAAAAGTTGATGTATTAAAGTGGGCAGAATAATTAGTTGAGGTTTTAAACTGGGTAGTGAAAAAATTTGGATATTAAAAAGCTTAATAGAATTTAGTTGGGGTATTTATATGGAATTTTCCCATTAGATTACTAGTCATTGTTAACTTCAGAAAATGTACTAAAAATAGTAATAATTTAATTGACTCAGATCTTAATTGACCGAGCATGTGCGACCTGTAACGTACCGGACTTGAAATCCGAATCCAAACGAGTTAATAATAACCTTCAAGATCAAGAAAGTGACAGGCCGAATATTAAAATCAAAATTACTAAAAAAGAAAAAGAACAGATAAAATCAGAAAAAGGCCAAAAATAAACAAATAGCAGAAGAACAAAAAGCGAGAGATCCGTGATGCCCAAATGTCCACGCGTCACTGTCTGCGACTGAAAACACGCGCTTCGCTGTGTTACCGACTTTTAATCTCTTCACCATATCTTCCCCTCTTGTCTCCACTATAAAACCTCATCCTTCCCTTCTTCCGTTTCTGCACCGATACTCCCACGCTAATTACGAAACTGCCACTAATTTTTTAGAAACGTACCATCTAAACCGAATAACCGGTTAAGCAATGGACGGTTTATTGCCCGACGAGGATAACTTAACTCGGAGTGACTCGGTTGTTAAGAAGCGACTCAGACACGAGTTGGACGAGTCAGTTTTCGACTCGCCCGACGTGAAGCGGTTGAGAGACGATCTGTTCGACGACTCGGGACATGACGCGGCCACTCAAGATCTCGACTCGTTGATGAAGAGCTTCGAGGACGAGTTGTCGAACACGGCGGCGCAAGACTCCGGCGAGGCTCAGCCGGATCTCGGATACCTTTTCGAAGCTTCTGACGACGAGCTAGGTTTGCCTCCACCGCTACCGGCTCCACAGACGACGGCTCTTCCTCCGTCGTCTGAGGAGGCGGAGGAGACGGTGAAGGAGTTGGTGCGAGCTCCGTCGGATTCGTCGGAAGTCGGCGAGTTAGGTGGATTCGAGGAGGCTGTTACGGGGGTTGGATCTTTTGAGCTGGATGATGGATTATTCGAATATTCCGATGTTTGTTTGGATTCCGGTGACGTGTTTTCATGGCAGCCGGAGACTCTACCGGCGGAGTAGTAATGTCTTTTTAAAAAGAGGGAGATGAAACGGTGGCGTTTCGTCTCGCTTTGTTTTTTATCTATGGTTTTAGTGATGTAGGAATAGGATCTTTATGTATTATCCTAAGGGTGATTTTTAGGATTAGAGATATCAAAGGTTTAGTGGTGATAAGTGACTTAGATTAGTCTATACATTTGCTTCCCTTTTTTTTCCAGGATCTGTTCTGTTGATTTTGAGTGATCTTCATCCTGTGTTTAGCTTTTGTTAATGTTAAAATTAAATGTCTTATCCCGAGTTTTATGCCAGATATTAGATCTTTTTTTTTGCGAGTAAGCAAATGTTCATATTAGATCTTTTCTTCTGTGTGTGTGGGTCTGTGCTTGTATAACAAATTTACAGTGTTCATATCTTTATACGTATTTCCCTTTTTTCTTCTAAAATGGAACTTTAAAAAGAAATATATTTTTCTCTGCAATGAATTTCTCTATTTTTCTTTCTAAAATAGTTTTAATATATTCACCTTCCTCTGTTATGTTAATATGAAAAACAACACAGAAGTAGCGAGATCACATAATAATAGTGCAATAATATGAATCACTATCTTACATATCTAGTCAAGTCCATAGTTCTTATCATGGTTTTATTCTTCTAGTTTCTCTAAATTTTTTGAAAATAAAAACATCTATGATTTGAGAAAAAATATACTCCCTCCGTTTCATATTAAGTGTCGTTGTAGAGAATTTTTTGCGTTACAAAATAAGTGTCGTTTTCGGTTTTCAATGCAAAATTTATTAATTTTATTATGTAATTTGTTTTTCTATTGGTTGAAATATGGTTAGGTGTATGGGTAATTGTGTTTTTATATAGGAAATATGTAAAATTAATTGTTTTCTTAATCCGTGTGCACAACTGTAGAGTGACACTTATAATGAAACAGAGGGAGTATATTTTATGGTAAATAACGTCGATGAGTGATGACTTTAAATTAATTTATTATAACTTCAAAGTTTAAAACCAAAGTTCCGCTTCCGTTTAATACATTCCTTAAAACTTGCCGAAAAAGAGAAGATATCTTGCTGATTTAGTCGGAATGGTCACCACGTCCACATATGCTTTATGACGGCAGGTCCTGCGGTATGGTCCATATCTAACAATACTCCGGAATAAGTTAAAAGACCTTACAATTTGGAAGAGATACTAAACGAAAAGGACCACAGAGATGATAATCTGCCGGATCTATGCATTTTCTTTGAGAGGCCGATTATGGTTTCTATTTCAAACCCGAAAATATTATTTGTGCAAAGCCCAAAACAATTTGATCGTGAAAAATCAGAAGATAAGTCCAAAAAATACAGACCCAAGACAAGTGAACCAGTCTGCAAAAGGAAGAACAAGACCAACCAACAACAGTGTAAATAAAGACTAAACATTCTTTGCTAAACTTGAAAAAAATTGCCTCAAGTTTGGAAACTGAACCCTCATGTTCATTTGTTGGCTTACGACATTGATGATGTCTCTACAAGGTCAAGCAATCTGGATTCTCAACGATCTTTGCAAAGGTTTGAAGGAAAGCAGCCAAGTCAGCTCCATACACAATGCGATGATCTGCGGTCACATTCACCTGCCAAACACAACCAATGCCACATTGTTAACATAATGAAAAGCTTCTTTCTAGATAAAAATCTAACAATTGTTTTGTTCCATGTGTAGTCACTTGCCAGCATTTTGTTTCTCACACTGAAGAACCCATCCTTATCAGCAACTACAGTTGGTTTTGACGCTCCAACAGCCATAATAGCACCCTGAAGATTTTGAGGTATAAACGAAGATAAAAGTAAGTTTGAGTGTAATCACTTATCTTAATGAGAGAGACTTTATACTGAAATTTCACATACCTGTCCTGGAGGGAGAATAGCATCAAATCTATCCACTCCAAACATACCGAGATTCGATAAAGTGAAAGTTCCTGCATTGAACACACACACACATGCATCCTTTACCTCACCACAATCCCTCCTTAAAACACACTTCTCATGAACAACTATTATTAAAAAAAAAGATTACCAGAGTTGTATTCATGAGGTTGCAATTGCTTGCCTCTAGCTTTCCCCACCAGCTCTTTCCATTTTTGCGATAACAAGTATAAATCCAACTAAAAACAACCACCATCACTCACACAATCAGTAAAGCTAAGTCTCTACACCTTTTTTAATTGCATTTCTTACCTTATCAGCATCTTGCAGAACAGGAGTAATCAACCCGCCATTAATAGCAACAGCAACGGCAATGTTAATGTTACTATTGTAACTAAAACTCTTCCCATCTTTGCAGCTTGCGTTCACCACAGGATGCTCAGCAAGCGCCATCCCTGCCGCTTTAGCCAACAACGCAGTCATTGTCACACCCTTTGGCTTCACCTGCAAACAAACAAAAACAAAAAACCAATGATTAAAATTTGCTGACACGACTTCAGAACAATGTTACATTGTTTCATTACCTTCTCGTAGAGCGCATCAAGAGCATCAGTGTTCACAGGATAACCAACACGGAACGTCGGAACAGAGAGACTCTCAATCATGTTTTTAGACACTGCAGACTGCATTGCAGTGAAAGGAACAATACTCGAACCAGGCAACAGAGGAGGAGACGAACTTGTTGTGGTAGCTTTTGGTGTAGCAATAGCAGCAGCAGCCGGGGGAGGAGGCGGTGGCGCCGCCACGGAGGGAGCAATCCCAGCGGCCGCCTCCACGTCAGCAGCCGTGATCCTCCCAAACGGTCCAGTCCCCGCAACCGATCCAATATCCACTTTATGCTGCTTCGCGAGCTTCTTAGCATACGGCGTCGCCACAGTCTTCCTCGGACCATCCGACACCGCCGCCACCGGAGCAGGCTGAGCGATCGCCGGCGCCGGAGACGAAGTCACCGGAGGAGGAGATGGAGCAACAACAACAACCTCCGATGATTTCGATTTCGAAGCGGCTTTGCTCTTAGCTTCTTCGATCTCAGCCTCAGTCTCCGCGAGCAACCCGATCGCAGCGCCGACGGGAGCCGTCTCTCCTTCTCCGACCACGATCGCGGCGAGGTAACCGTCGTAGAACGTCTCCACGTCCATATCGGCCTTATCGGACTCGACGACGACGACGCTCTCTCCCTTCGCGAGTTTCTCGCCTTCGGTCTTGATCCAGGAGACGATCTTCCCTTCCGTCATGGTGGAGGAGAGCGCCGGCATGAAGATTTCGCGAATCTTGGATCGGATTGTCATCACTCTGCGTTTGTGAGAGGAAGACGCTGAGCGGAAGGAAGGGAGGGGGGATGGGGAGAGGGAGGAGGTGAATGAGATGGCGGATTTGGAGTTGGAGAGGGGAAGTGTCGATAGGAACGAGGAAGAAGAAAGCGCCATTGTTGTTTGGATTGAGAGAGAGAACGATCTGAGAGATTTAGAGAGAGTGTGGAGTGTGGGACGGAGAAGACGAGGTTGTAGTTCGTTAAGCTTCTTCACCTATTTTTTTGTAATCCACTACAAGTCTCGTTGTACCGGTTTGTATTTTAATAACCGGGTTGTTTTTAATTTTTGTTTCCGGTTTTGTAAAACCCATCTAGAAACAAAGATGCGATGCTTCTCAATTGGTATTTCAAGAACCGGTTGATTAGACCGGATAGTTTTTAATTTGTATTTCCGGTTTTGTAAAATCTATCTAGAAACAAAGATGCGATGCTTCTCAGTGGATAATAGGTAACATGACGATATCAGTTTTTGTCATTTATCTTCTCTGCTCGACCTAGGTTATAGAATCTGATTCCAAAAGCTTAGTCTATAACTTTATGGATGTTCTCTTGACCAAACACATATTATAGAAAATCGTTGTTCGTTCGTCGCATGTCGGAAAAGCAGAGGCAATGTTGTGCTGTGCTGCGGATTAGTTTGGATTGCAATGCATGTTGTCGAAAAGTAAGAAGGATTCTCATCAATATAAGAGGTTGGTACATGTTAAAGATATGAAAAAAGCTAAAAATGCAAATACTAATAATACAGACTTTGGTTTGATACTTTATGTGAAGGGGTTGATACACACGTGATCGAGAAGAAGGAAGACCGGATAATTGTTTGCGGGCGATTTAGACCGTCGGATGTTGTAGTAAAACTGCAGAAGAAGATGAAACGGAGGGTTGAGATTCTTGAGGTTGAAGATCTCACCGGCGGAGAAGAAGGATTCCATGACAATGAGCCACCGTACGATCGGGAGCATGAATACTCCGAACAACAACCTGATCACATGACCACGCCATTATTGTGTTAGTTCCCTTATAGTCGTTTGGTCCGTTTATCCTCTGCAGTAACATTTGTAAAAAGCATTGGAAGAAACAATGTGTATATTAAGTTACAAAAAAAATGTGTATATGTACAAAAGTGATGCTCGTTATTAATGAAATATTTAGTATGTTACTTCTGCGGATACATTATAATCACAGGCGGAGCCCGCTAAAAATTTCACGAGGGTCAGTTTCATAATAAACATGAGTTCATTAAGTTAAATCTATAGCATTTTTGTCAGTAGTTTTTTCAAAATATAAGTAAAAAAGTTTCTTTCTACAAAAACTATGTGGGTCATTTGATCACCATCACCAAGCTGTGGCTCCGCCACTGATTATAACCCAAAATATAATTTATTTGTGTAATTTTTCTCCTACATGAAACAACGAGGTCGGATAACATACATTACTTCAACACATATAGCAATAATTTCTGAAAACTCAAATCCATAACTTGTAATATTTTTAATCGACCAATGAAATTTAACTATACGTTACTGGTAACGACCCTAAGGATCACGGATTCGAATCTGTTGCCCTCAAATTACCTTATAGTGTGGCCAAACAATATAGATATCTAATTTCCTTTACGAAGAACTGGATCTGACTAACGTCGTTGGTCAGATTATTATATAGTGTTATTTTGTTTTTGATGATTTTGTATGAATCTACATCTTATGATTGTTATCAAATTATTTTGCTAAAATTATTTAACTCCATACATTTAGGTTTTTGCACTTTTGAACAAAATGTATTCTATAAAACACTTACAAATCATTTAAAATTCAATGTTTAGATTTTTTTTCATTATTCTTAATTGTCTTTTTCAAATTTATATTGACACTGGATATTCTAAAAAACTTTTTGAAACCATCTTAAATAACATTTCAAATATATTTTAAGATATCACTCATATTAGCCTTAATTTATTTATGACACTAAATATTATTTCGATTTGATCCCTAATTTGTGTTCCATCACTCTATTATACTTTAAAAAATCGTTTTTGACCCTATTATAGTTTGCAGTCTCACAATAAAAAAAAAAAAGGAATACACATTAGTATGCGTGTCCTAGCGACAGATACTGTATATAAAGATATATCCTATTGCTTTGATTATTCGTTGAGTCGCGAAAACACATCGACCGAGAGACACACAAAGAGGGGAAACACACAAACCAACCGAATCCTCTTGAGCCCACCAAACCCTAATTTCGACGATCTCATGACGAATGACAATCAGATCGAAAAATCTCACCACCGCAAGCACCTCCGTTCGCCCTCATCCTCCGACGAAGCCGATAAATCATCGAAACGCCACAAGCACCGTCACCACAAGCGCCATCACCGACATCGCCGCGATAAGAAGCGCGGAGATGAGGCAGAGCTGATGGATGTTACTCCGATTGGAGTCAGTAACGGCGTTGGGGACGACGTCGAAGAAGGGGAGATTCTAGATGAAGAAGGGATCCTTAATGATAAGATTGTTGATTCCGATGGAGAGTCAGGCGAAATCAAATCCGGTCATCTGGTCTGTTCTAATCGCCCTTTTTAGGTCTTTTTGCTTATAAATTTCTGCTTGGATGCTGGGATTATAGGGGGTTTGGTTGAAACGATAGATTGTTTTTATAACTCAGTATCCAAAGAGCTCTATATCAAGCTGAATTGATGATAAAAAGCTTTTGGTGTTTGAGAGTTTTTTTTTTTAATTTAGATAACCTGAGTGATTCAATGCATATGTAAGAAAGCAGTTGCCCTAGGCGTTCAATGGAGACTGATGAGCTTTCCCTTTGATTTGTAAGAACTGGTTTCGCGATTTTGTTGATGCTTCTTTTATCTTTTTTTTTTTAATGTGTGTGTGCTCATGCGTTTTGTAGCCTGTGCTTATTGTTTCTGGTGCTGGAAACGCGGAGGAGAGTTTCAACGGTGCTCTTACTCGTGAGTCTAAAAGGGAGGATAAGAGGTTGTATAAAGAATCTGGGGGTTCTTCGGACAACTCTGAAGAGAAGCACAAGAGTCGTAACTGGTCCCGGCAGTCTAAGGAAGTACGTGCGCGGAGTAGATCTAAGTCGCATGATCGGGAGAGGGAAACTTCAAGGTCAAAGATTGTTGCCGAGGATGAGTTTTCGGTCAGAGGAAGACGTCGTGATTCTAGTAGGGAGTATCATTATGACAGGGTTGACTCAAGGAGGGCTGAGGAAAAATATCATCGACGTGGGCGATATGAAGAAGATGACAGGGAATATAGTCGAGAAGTCTTGGAAAGAGAAAGAAGTAAGGAGAGGGATATGGACAGGGAGGGAAGCATAAGAGATAGGGATTCAGAAGGAAGTAAACAGAGAGAGAGAGACATTGATAGGAAAAGCGAAAGAGAACGAGAGAAAAGGAAGGAGATAGAGGCTGACCGTGAGAGGAGAAAAGACAAGGAACGGGAGCGCAGCATTGATAGGGACAGGAGAAGGGAGAGGGAAGGAAGAGATAGATACAATGAAAGAGGTAGGAGCGTCGATATGGATAGGAGAAGGGAGAGGGAAGGAGATTATTTACGAGATAGAGACTATGGAAGAGGTAGGAGTAGAGATAAGACTAGATATGATAGCCGAGAGAGGATGAGAGAAAAGGAAAGGGAGAGTGACAAAGGAAGAGACATCCAGGCTGATCGGGAGAAGCATGAAAGTGTTGAAGTGGACAACGGTGAAAGGTATTCTTTCAGTAACCCTATCCCTTAAAATATTTTTTACAGATGACACACCTTTACTATTCTGTTGTGTGCTTAAATATTTTACCACCAGGTCAAAAAATGAGAATGATCAAGATGATAATGCCAAAGAAGTTATATGGAAATCTCCGGAAGAAATAGAAGAAGAGGAATTAAATAGAATCAAGGAGAGCAGGAGGTTAACGGAAACCATACTGGCTAATCGTAGAAAGAAGCCCGAGCAGCAAAATAAACTTATTTCGCAGGATACGGGGAAAGGTAATTTTTCAAAACGATTTAAACATGATGACGCAGATAATTTGTTTAAACATGGGCTTTCTTGTTGTGTTTGGAGTTGTTGAGAAAATTCCTTCGAGGTTTTATCTGGTTGGAAAGATGTGGGTTTACCGAGAAGTTGTTCCGCTCAATTTAGTATTCGTGAATGGCTCTTTTACAGAAAGCTGTTTTACTAGTTTGCGGTAGATTTTGTTGATTGATTTCACTTGCAGTTGTACAAAAAAAATAATGAGATTTTGAGCTTTCAGGCAGTGTCAGTGATTCGTTTGTTTCTGTGACAGATGTCGTTCAAGAAAACAGTGCTCCAGATTCGGCTTCTTCTGCAGTTATAGCTACTAATGCTGGTGCAGCCAAAGCTAACTCGGACTTTGACATTGTTGTTGATGATGCTGCCACAACATCATTAACTGCTGGTGGACCACCTACTATGTTTGGAATTTCGAATTCGGACAAGACTCAAGCTCCAGCAGGGCTTGGCGAAGGTAGCCCAAAGGTGCGTCAGAAGAGGATTTCTTATTGTTTATTTGGTATTAGTGTTGTGTGGTTGTGATTATTTTTTCGGTTTATGTTTATACTATCATTTAGTATATATGTGGTGATGTTTCTCCATCTTATATTTTCCAGAGTGAAAGATCAGCTGACATGTTTCATGATGATATATTTGGAGAGTCCCCTGCTGGTAATCACAAAGTGGTATGTAAACTCAATTACTTGACAATTTTACGTCTTTTGACCTTACCGTATTCTAACAGTTCACTGAACTTCTGATGTTATCATCTTAAGATTCTCCTATCGCCGTGGATCTACTAGTCAGATCCTCGTTAAACCTTTTTCATTTGTGTATCAGGGAAATTTTTTGTTTGTTGTGGTTTTAGTATTTTCTTCTCGCCTTTTCTTATAGGGTCACATGCGAGGGAAAGGTGATGGTGTTCCGATGGTACGGAGCGGGCTTCATGACAATTGGGATGATGCAGAGGGTTATTACAGTAAGTTTGCTCTCTTTCTATGTGTATTGAGCTAAATTTTCTACGTATTTAGAACAGTTTATATTTTAGTTTTTTTTTCCACTTCGTACACCTCACGTTTTTATTATCTTTTCAGTTCGTAAAACCCTTTCAGTGATTTTCATCTTTAAAATAGCGTCTTGTCTCCTGTTTAGGCTATCAGTTTGGCGAGCTAATTGACGGCAGATATGAAGTCATTGCTACTCATGGAAAAGGTGTCTTCTCTACTGTGGTTCGTGCGAAAGATTTAAAAGCTGGACCAGCTGAACCTGCAGAAGTAGCAATAAAAATTATTCGTAACAACGAGACGATGTAGGTGGTGCATTCTATAGGCTCTGACTATGTCCTCAAATTCATGTGTAATGTCTCATTTATCTTCGCTATGCTTTTGGGACTCATTACTTTATTACATTTTGTGTAGGCATAAAGCTGGCCAGACTGAGGTTCAGATATTGAAGAAGCTGGCTGGTGCTGACCGAGATGACAAGCGGCACTGTGTTCGTTTTCTTTCAAGTTTTAAGTACCGGAATCACCTTTGCTTGGTGTTTGAGTCGCTCCATTTGAATCTTCGCGAGGTTCTGAAGAAGTTTGGCCGTAACATTGGCCTTAAACTCTCTGCTGTTAGGTCCTATTCAAAGCAGCTATTCATTTCCCTTAAACATCTGAAGAATTGTGGGGTTCTTCACTGCGATATAAAACCTGACAACATGCTGGTCAGTTATACGTTTCTGTGGTTTCCTCATACTTGATTCATTAGCTTTCTAACAGTCGACAATTTCTCTGTTTGTCCAGGTGAATGAGAACAAAAACGTGTTAAAGCTTTGTGACTTTGGTAATGCAATGTTTGCTGGAAAGAACGAAGTCACACCTTATCTCGTTAGTCGCTTTTACAGATCCCCTGAAATCAGTAAGTTCTGTCTGCCTTGAGTGGATTGTTAGCGAAGATTTGCCTATTAATTGCCAGAGAATATGTTACTGAAGCTTCTCTTTTATTCCATGACAGTTCTGGGGTTGGCTTATGACCATCCGCTTGATATATGGTCGGTTGGCTGCTGTCTATATGAGCTTTATTGTGGGAAAGTTCTTTTCCCTGGCGCCACAAATAATGATATGTTACGCCTTCATATGGAACTGAAAGGCCTTTTCCCCAAAAAGATGCTTCGTAAGGTAATCATTAAAGTAGATTTGATTTCAACTCGAAAGAAGAACATAGTATGTAGGGTGGAGATCTCATTTGTATGCTTAAGAGAAGCAGTTATTCTATGCTTTTACTTATGTTTGTGTTTTTGGTTTAACAGGGTGCATTTATTGATCAGCACTTTGATCAGGACTTGAACTTTTACGCCGCAGAAGAGGACACTGTCAGTGGGAAGGTAACAAGCCAGTCCTTATACTTTCTCTGACATTTTGCAGTTTCAAAACCAATTGACTGTTGAGTAATTTGTTATCTTTTCCTTTTTCAGATGATGAAGAGAATGATTGTAAATGTAAAGCCAAAAGATATTGGTTCAATTATTAAGGGTTACGCTGGTGAGGATCCCAAGCTGTTAGCTCAGTTCAGGGATCTCTTAGACAAGATGTTCATCCTTGATCCAGAAAAGAGACTGACTGTGTCACAGGCATTAGCTCACCCATTCATCACTGGCAAGTGAAATTACTGTTATATCAGAAAATGCTGTTGTCCTAAGATATTTGTACATTACGCATCTTATTTTACTGTGAGGTTCTAATATTTGAACTGTCTCCCTCTTTCTTCTGCTGCGTGAGAGCTTTCATTACAATGTCGGCATGGGTGATGGTGTTTGTGTGAAGCTCTCACCACTGCAATTCTCAATGGGAATTTACTGGTTTTATTGTAAGACAACCCGCTAAATGGCGCTTTCTTTCTTTAGACTGCTCTGTAATCTCATTGCCGACTTTACTCATTGTAGAAGTCTATGTTTGTTGGAAACATTCCATCTGAATAAGGAAAGGGCCATTCTGAATCGTATTTTAATTATATGAAAACTCTGTGAATATGATTTGTGATAGTGAATTGCTTGATTTTCTCTTTTGGTCTTCATGAGGGGCCTGATGTTGTTTTTCTCCAGGACAAGTACAATCGATTAGAGAACAGTCCTAAAGTCTTTCAATGGTTTAAAGGCACACAGGAGAAGGTACAATGGTTGTTTATTGGGAGTAGTGTGAACCTTTCTCATCTGTGTTGGTCTATTAGTTTGAACTTGTGTTGCTTGAATAGGTCTTTACAGTTTGCCCCGACCAAACCCTTTTTTTTCGTAAATTGTGTTTGGCTGCAGTTCTCGTTGTGATGGTTTGAGTTTTGCCTGAAACAGTTTTTTTCTTCTTATTTAGTTATCCCTTTCAATATGCATGTTTACCTTTTGTTGTTCTTCTAGTGTTTTTGTGGGCTTTCATGTTATCTGATAAATTATATTATTGACATGATAGAGGTTTCGCTTGGAGGAGAGAGCCGCACAAGAGAATAAAGTATGAAGGTATTGAGATTTAATCATATCTGACTGATTTCTTTTTTTAGGACACTCTATTTTCTCTATCTCCTCTTGTGGTTTAGTTCGCTAACTGTGACTCTAATATGTTGTAGGGTCGTACTCTCTCCTCCTGCAAGGTTGGTAAGTATGTCAAGCTCTGTGCTTCTCTTCTTATGACATTGCCATTGCTTGTTCATAGCGGGGTAGAACTGCTTATGTTTACGAATTTATTAATCAGGGTTTCTTTTTGTGTTAGACTTTGATGCACATCTTTTCATCCCTGATTTCTGTTTTGGAACATCGAAGTTTTGTCAGTGAGCACGTAGGTCGATTCAGTTTTTTTTCTTAGTGCATAGGTAAGAAGTTTAAGATTCTAATGATTTAATAGTAAACGAGTCTGCATAACTTAAGATTTTGGAAGGGCATAGGAAAGAGGAGATATAACTTTGGAAATGGTTGTTATTTAACTTCCATGTTTCTTATGATTGGCTATGTTTTCCTTATCATATGTTCTGTGCTGTTTGATGATTTATACTCCCTCTGTTCCTATTCCTTAAGGATATATATTCTAGAAAAAAAATTGTTTCTAAAAGATCCATTTTTTACATTTTCAATATATGTTTTTTTAAATAATTATAAACTTCAAAAAATTTAAGGGTGAATTGGCTGAAAATACATAAAGAACTTGTATATTAGCAATATACCATGGTTTTGGGGGAAAAATAGTAAGAGGGGGGGAGAGATATTTGCACTAATTGATTTTTGATTGGTTTAAAAGTATGGAAAGAAGATAAATATAAAAAACTATACAAATTTGTTATATTTTATTAAAAAGTGTGAAAAAACTTAAAGATCGTTAAAATTATCTCGAGTTGCATAGTGTATGATTGGTTTAGAAATGGTAAACTAGTTTTATTAAAGTTCATCTAATGGGACTGGATTAACAAGCAAGGACATGACACGCTCAACAGTTTTCGTTTTTTCGGGACATCCATGACCATCGCCGTATTGATACATGCACTGCGACATGCGTGCTAGGTTCACTGCTGCTTCCACAAAACCTCGAGGCAGTAACGAAGAAGTGCGTGCCGCTTTGGTTTCGTAGTTCATTTCATCCCACGTGTCACAGATCATCTGCTGCACGTGTGCATGTGCCTCTTCCTCCGACGCTCCCGTCTCGTGCATGTAACATTGGGCTGATTTGAGAACGTCTCCTCTCGCCAATTCATCCTTACATAACAAACAAACACACTCATTCGCTAGCATACACGGATATAAACCATAGCCTAAAAGTGTGCCTGTCTAGAGAGACCACATACATTATATCTATATTTTAATTCTTCTTACGTTAATACGTTTTTTGACATTATAGTTTGCAATTTAGAGAATAGCTGTGAATTATAGACTTAACCAGCCGCCTAAGCTTAAACAAAAAACATTATTTTACTAACTTTCCTCTGATCTGTTCAAAATCGAAAGCGTTGAAGACTGTTCCGTGATGTTTTGTTAATAGCAAAATGCAATTTTGAACACATAACGACTATGATTTAGAAGATAGCAAAATGTATACCGGCGAAGTTCCAAGGTCATTAGCCAGACGAAGGATGGTGGCCGAGCATCGGACAATTTCTTGGCGGTGTTGAGATAAAGTCTCCAAGGTTTGTAGCGAGATTTGGTCAGAGTAAACGCAGTAAAAGTGGATCAATATTGTGGGGGCAGAAATTGAAATCCAAGCATTTTGCATGTATTCTTCCATGCTTGGCTTGTAACCACCTTTGTACCATTTTGCTTCCACTAGATATGTTTTACATAAATCTGCCCACTGACTTTCACAAAAATAAATTTAAAAGAAATTCTAGTAATATTTTCAGTTATAAGTTGTTATTTAAACTTTTCCAACATTAATTATTATTTAAGCTTAATATAAATCTTCCCACTAATTTCAGAAAAATTAAAACTGTAGTAATTTTCAGTAATCAGTTAAGCTTACCGATTTTCTTAGAAAAGGGATGACGTCAATATTTCTATATTTGAGAATGTCACATCCAATGCTGTTGATTTCATTGAACAGAATAAGAAAACACAACCTCATGTACTCGGGGAGCTCATCAAGACGATTTACATCCCAGCTGCACCATATGTACGATTGTTTTCTAAATAACACTTTTGAACAAAAAATAGAAAATAATGTGACAAAAGAAAAAAAGCACAAATCCTTGTAACTTAGCGACATATCGTTATTTTTAAACGAGATTAAAAACATGGTATTCATGAAAATCTCTTTATGTTTCAGTTTGATAAATAGTTTTTCCAGATAAAAACCACAATAAGATTTAAATATCCTTAATTTTCAATGCTCATTTTTTTTTTTTACAAAATACCAAGAAAACTAGGCGAAATTTGAGTTGTAGAGTCCTTACTTATCGACCATGGCGGTGAAAAGTTCAAGCTCTTCAAGAGTGCCATATATATTCGTAAATGTCGTCAATGGTTGTAACAAGTGCATTGACTATAGTCATGATCCGTCGTATATTTCCAAATTGAGGTTCATATATTAATCCAACGGTCCAAAAATAATTCTCCACTATTCTGTCCCTTACAAAAGGAAGTTGGTTAACCAAACATGTTTCCTTCCACCAGCTTCATGTCATTTAAAGAGAGGATTATAAAGATATGCAAAAGCAGTCAAATATATTGCTTTTATTAGTCTATTGTAATACCTTGAGACGTATTTGAGATCTTCTTGATGAGCAATTTGTACGATATTGAAATCGATTTTGGCAAATTCGATCAAGACAAGATTCGTATCATGTTTCTTCTCGTACGCATCTATGTACCATCTCGTTTCTAGCCTTTTCATTCTCCAATGGTACGGCATTTCTAGCGCATGAATCGCCTTCTCACGTACCTCAGGGTTGCATGTTTCAACATCAACAAATTTTCTTATTTGTTCTGTTACAAAAGGTCTGATAATATCATGCATTTTAGAGTCCGATTTCGTGGTGAGATATGACGCTTCGTACAAGGAGATGATACTATTTATATCGTCACTCTTGAACGTATCACTTTCAATTTTTTCGACTATCACATCAAATATATCTGAAATACAAAGCACCAAACGAGTTCGTTTAGCTTCATAATTATATGTTTTCATTAATTTCGTTTACAATTGAATATGAAAGTAGTTACCTTCTGACACCTCAAAGCCATGCTGTCTAAGAAGTCGAAATTCGAGGGAGGTTGCATGTAAATCTTCTTCTTTGTCACATTTCCAGCCGCTTCTTCCATTTTGACAATGAAAATCCATTAAAATGTTATTTATTTGTACCTCAAAATGATATGAAACCCCAAGTTTTTGCAAATCGTCAATGAGCTCTAAGAGCTCGAGACGACTCTTTGTCTCAACATCAAGCATCTTCCTCACTTTTTCCTTCAATAACTCTCTAGCTTTCACTTTCTCTTCTTTCTGTATGCATGAATCGTATTATAGATAAATCATAAATACAAATAAAAGACATATCAGTTAAATAGATATATGTTCTAGTAGATAACGATGATTAGTATGATATCTTCTTAGACGTAAATACAATTTTACCTCATATTTATTATTGATAGAAAGGAGATAGCGATGGTCCCAAGGAGAAGGCTGATAATTGCCGGAGCGTCGACGGAGGACGTCAATAGAAACATCATCCGGCGTCGTTTTTGTCATGGATCTGCATATGAAACGTGGAAGACGAAAGTTATTATGGGTTGTAGCATTTCTGTAAATAAGAGCTGACGCCATATATAAACTAGCCATGGGTTTAGACTTCAGAGTATTACTTCGTGGGTGAGACTAGATAGACGACACTCATATGTTTATATAGGGCCGGATCTGAGATTTTGAGGATTTAAAATATTTTATGAAAATTTTAATAGAAAAAAATTTCTTCAAAATCTGGGGATATAGGTCTCTTTAACAAAATTCAAAATTTTAGAGAGCAAGACCAATGTTTCATGAATGGAGTATAAATCATTATTTCTATTCATAAAATTATGAGTTTTTACAACTAAAATTATTTTAATGCAACAATAAAACTATATTTTAATATAGTTTTCATACAAAAATCAAAATCAAATTAATACTAGTAAAATTAAATATTATATTAAATTTGGTGCGACATTTCACCACAATAAATGCTATTTAAATAATAAAATAAATATTTATAATAAAAGATTAATTTATTTAGTCTAATAGTTATTGATATATCGATTTAAATAATAAAATATATATTTATAATAAAAGATTAATGTATTGAAATAAATTATTAAATGTTATTCTATTTAATATTAGTTTTCTGAAAAATTTGTATTTAAATAATTATATAAATATGATTATATACCAAGTTTCGTATAATATTATTAACAATGCTAAACAGTATTTTAATTAGTAGAATATTAGACTAATAAATTAAAAATTAACACTTAAACTAGTAAATTAAATATTTATAATAAGATAATGAATTCAAATATTTTACTTAAATATTAATATATCTTTTTTTATAAAAAAGCTTCCTGTTATTTCTTCTTATGTAATATAATTACATGATAATTATTTATATTAATAATAACAATACTTTAAATTTTATAATAATAAATATTTTTTTCGTTTTTTTTATATGTAACCTAATTAAAGTATTGTTCTCTTATTTAAAGGGATAAAAACAAACGTGAAATCCAACGAAACCTAATTTGTCACCCACTTATTAATTAATATTGTATCATTTTGGGTTGCCAAAAAAGCATCGTATCATTTTGGGTAATGTTTATCAACAACGCAATGACCCCTTCAGGTAGAGTCAGTCGAATGGAAAGACGTGAATCAAAAAAAATATCCTTCTCCAAACCCAAATACGTATACCTCATGATCCTCGTGGTGTCGGTTTCGTGTCAAATATGTCATAACTGGATCATTTTTGGAAATAAAACATGGCCCGCTCAGTTAGTCAGTGGCATGGAAAATAATAGTCGTATCATTTTGGGTAATCTAATTTCATATCAGTATTACGATATATACTCGTAATAATCAGAGAGCCAACAATTATAATAGTATGTGTGGCGAATGGCGATGACTATTCATTAAGAATATTGTTTTCGGTGAAAAAGCAATATAGCAATTCGTAGCTAACTTTGACATCATTGAGGTTTCTTTTTTTTTTTTTTCCGACTAAAATACTTTATTAACTAAAATCACTGTTTACAATAGCTTCTAAAAATCGAGGACAAGTATGGAACAACCTCCATTGATAACTTAACATTAAAGATTTCCTAGCTAATAAGTCTGCAACTTTATTATTTGTTCTTTTAGTATGAACAAATCGGCAGCTAGCAAAACTTGGAATCCAGCTTTGAATGGTCTCAAGGTAAAAGCGATAACGTGGTTGCAGCATTTGATTATTAATACTGTTATTTATGATCAAGTTATCACCTTCAAAAATAACTTTAGTATAACCAAGAGACCAGGCCGCTTGCATAGCCCATTGTAACGCTGATAATTCTGCTTCTTCAATTGTTGAGCGGCCTTCAAACTTTCCCATTCCAGCTTGGAGAACAATTCCATGATTGTTCCTTATCACCCAACCAAGTCCAGAATCATGGTTTCCAGAATGATGTGAAACGTCATAGTTACATTTAACCCATCCAGGAGGCGGAGGTTGCCACGACGTAACTTGTCGATACTGATTATGAACATTACTACTTGACGTTAGTTCTGCCCTAGAAGATTGAATCCATTCATGAACATCCGTTCTTGCTCTCTCCAAGGTAATTGTTTCTGAAATCAGTTTCTTCCCAAAAAGAAGATCATTTCTACTTTTCCATAATCTCCATACAATCCAATAAGGCAGAAGACGTTCTTCTTCTCTGATAGAATGATCGGTACTGACTGTAAACATCATTTTTAGTTTATCTTCAAGCGTACCAGAGTCATCACACCAACTACTGGGATAACCAGCCAAACCCCATACAGATTTAGCAAAAGGACAAGTAAATAAGATGTGTAGAGTAGATTCCTCTTGGACACAACAACGAGCACAATATGGATCCACCGAAATATGACGATAGCGTAAGTTACTTTTAGACGGTACTATATTCGAAGCTGCCCTCCACATAAAATGTTTAATCTTAGGAGCTGTATTGGAACTCCAAATTATTTTGGTGAGGTATGGTTGGGAGGCCAGTGGCGGATGACGTGAACGTTGAGGCGCTCCACTTTTTGCAAAATGATATCCCGATTTAACGGAATAAGAACCATCTTTTGTGAATTGCCAGAGACAACTATCTTCTTGGGATCCAGGAGGTATAAAAATTCTCTTGATTAGAGATATATCCTCATGTTCAACAAAATCCTTCAAAATCTCAAGATCCCATTGACCCGTAGCTTGATCTATAAGTGTTTGCACTTTTAGAGTTGGATTTGTATATGGCAAAAGTCGTGGTGCTCGAGGTGGATTTGTAGGTAACCAAGAGTCTGAAAGTTTAGTATTCCTGCCATTCCCAATAGTATGCTGTATGCCTTTCAATAATAATTTACGTCCATGTAGTAAAGATTGCCATCCATAAGAAGGTTGTGATCCTTTTCCCGCTTCCCAAATACTTTTCCCTCTAAAGTAACGATGTTGAAGAACTTGGTATAGAAGGCTGGTTGGACGTAGATTGAGTTTCCATACTTGGTTAGCAAGTAATGCTTGATTAAAAAGATATAATAATTTAAAACCCAAACCACCAAGTTGTTTGTTGTAGGTTAAACGATCCCACGAGAGCCAAGCCATCTTTTTCTGTTCATTGGTAGTACCCCACCAAAATTTGGAAAGCAAACTATCTAACTCAGAACATATCTCCATAGGTAGCTTAAATACATTCATCGAAAACACAGGCATGGCGCTTGCAACTGATTTGATAAGTATTTCTTTTCCAGCATACGTTAGATATCTGTTTTGCCATCCATCAACCTTCTTTAAAACATTGTTTTTGATATATGAAAACATCTCTTTTTTCTTCCTTGCAAACTGTTCTGGTAATCCTAAATATTTTCCCCCACCTCCAATCTTTGATATGTTCAGAATCTGTTGGATGCTCTCTCTTGAATGCTGGAAGACTTGATCACCAAAGATTATTGAGGATTTCTCTCGATTAATCATTTGTCCTGAAGCCATTTCATACTTTCTAAAGATCTCTAGAAGATTTTCACTATTTCGACGATCAGCCTTAAGAAAAAACAAAGAGTCATCTGCGAATAAAAGGTGCGACACGGGAGGTCCACCTACACTGACTCGCATTGGAGTGATAGTATGGTTCTGCTCAGCTTGAACCAGAAGGGAGCTTAGGACATCAGCTGTTAAAATGAATAAATAAGGTGATAATGGATCACCTTGTCGTATTCCTCTGGTAGGTTTGAATCTACCGTATGGACTGCCATTAACCATCACTGAGAAAGTTACAGACGTAACACACTTCATAATCAATTGTATCCATTTTTCAGAGAAACCTTTACGCCTCATAACTTCTTCTAAGAACGCCCATTCAATGCGATCATAGGCTTTGCTAATATCTGTTTTAACCGCCATATAAGAGGTTGCACAACGTTTACGGGTTTTAAGAGAATGAAAAACTTCATGTGCTAGGAGAACATTGTCATGAATTTGTCTACCAGTAATATATGCAGCTTGATTCTCAGAGACTATTGCTGTAAGGAAAGGCTTAAGACGAGCGACCAATATTTTGGATATTATTTTGTATAAGACATTACACAAGGCTATAGGTCGCAGATCTATCATGGAGGAAGGTGGCAGAACCTTAGGTATTAGGCATAGATTGGTGTGGTTGATCTCCGATGGAAAGTCTCCTGTATCAAAGAAACGTTGCACTTCAGTAGTGACTGCAGGGCCCACTATATCCCAAAATTGTTGATAAAATGCGGCAGTTAAGCCATCTGGTCCAGGAGCTTTGGAAGCACCGATAGAAAAAACACTCCTTCGTACTTCCTCCATTGTAACAGTTCTGGTCAAAACCTCATTCATCTCAGAATTCACAACTGGCCTTAGACTACTTAATACTTCATTCATGTTTTCAGGGTTGGTGCTGGTAAAGATGTGCTTGAAATAAGAAATAGCTTCAGATGAAATATCTTGAGCACCATAAATATCGGATCCATTGCTATCTTTAAGAGTGATTATTTTGTTGACAGCCCGCCTGTTCTTTGTAGTGGCATGGTAGAATCGTGTGTTTCTATCTCCTTTTTGTAACCACTTGTTTCTGCTCTTTAATTTCCAGTATTCTTCTTCAAGCCTATAAGCAGCATTCAGCTCTTGCTTCATTGATCTGATATCATCACTTGTTTGGTGGGGATCCGTGTGTGCCAAGTCAATCTTTTGAATAAGAAGTTTGATCTGTTTTGCAGAGTTGGAAATATTATTCTTTTTCCATTCTGAGATATTATGTCTACATTGGCGTAATCTTTGGAGTAAGGAGAGTGATGTATTATGTTGTGAAAGCCAATCAGTCTCCACAACTTGGCGAAAACCCTCTCGCTGAAAGAACCTACTATCATAACAAAACATCTTTTTCCCATATTCCATCTTTCGTTGAATATGAATGACTGCAGGCCTATGGTCTGACTCTACCATTTCTAAATAGGTTATGTAAGACGCTGGAAATGTTGCTATCCATTCATCATTACCCATTCCTCTGTCTAACCAACTTTGAACCAAATGTGTTTTTCGCTTTCCAGACCATGTCATATTGTTGCCACAAAAAGGCAGA